AGAAAGCAGAAATATCCATATTTATAATCCTGACTGAATATTCACTTGTTACAATGCCATCCATCCATCCATCCATCCATCCATCCATCCAATTTCTACCAGATCCAATTAAAAAAAAAAAATCTGAAACAACAGATATTTAATCAAACTTTATGAGAAGGCAAAACACTCCTTTTTCTTCTTGTGCTCATTTTGTACACCTTCTGCAAAAGGATTCATGTTATAATTAGCTAAGACTTGCTGCTTCATTCTAAACGTCTAGAAAAAGCTATCTGGAAAATGAATATATCTTAACTCAGGAGCCACACAAATATGAAAGATCTTCATATTCTAAGGGGAATTTCTACAGGCCTTTAAGTAAAATCAAATGTATTAATAAAAGTAAGCAAACAGTATTTTTATTGATATCTCTTGCTAATTTGATCTTGCTGCTTGGAAATTTATAAAAGGAAATGTGTGATTTTCACAATAACAGACTTTGCTGAAGTACACAAGGAAGTTCATGCTGTAATTTGTATATTATTGATCCACACTTGGACTTAGAGATTCTTACTCAAAAGCAGAGGCCCAAAGTAATTATCATGCTGCATTTTTTCTCCCTTTTGAAGGCTCTTTTAGAGAAGAAAAAAATGTAATGTCCCTGCTCAAAAAGGCCAGTTAAGACTAATGAGATTTAGGCATCTCAAGATCAGTTCCAGAGCTATATGTTCCCAAGCTGTCATTGATTAGCAGCCAAGCTGATTAACTTTTAGCTCAGCTGTGGTGTATCTATTTTACATTTTCTAGCAAAACTTGTAGACAGTCTGTTTTGGGACTCACCCGATCCCCCGGCTCTTCAACTTCAGATGAAGTAGCATTCTGTTCACAGATCCTGCTTTGGAGGTCCTCCTCACAAAATCTGCTCTGATTTTTATTTTTTGGCATATGGCCCTGCTGATTCCACTTTAAAATACAGCTAGGACTGAGCTAGACTGTTTTGAGTCTTTGCAGATCCTTCCCTTACCTATGCACAGTAGCTCAGATGAAGTGAGCAAGGGTGAAATAAACAACAGTTCTGTCTCTTTGGCAGAGGACAGGCCCAAGCGGCTGCCTGCTCTTTTACCAGCAATTGCCTGGTGGACTGGGGGAGGAGGATGCTAGTCACCACTTTTCTTTCTCTTTTGTGTGAAATGGGGAAGGTGGGAACTTTTTGCTGGTCTACTGCTGTTTCACAACCATGGCAATTTTCAGGTGTGTAGACTTCAAATCCCAGAATTCCATAGCCAGCATGGCCACAAGTGAGAATGTTGGAGTTGAAGTTGAAGGTTGGGAAACCCAAATAGTTGCAAATCAAAGGGAAAATTGACAAAGATTGCCTCTTCCCTTTGTCTCACTTGAATGGTGCACTCATCCAAACTCTGGAGATGACTGTTATAGTTTGTAAATCACTATCTAAGGTTTAATATATTCTGTACATCCAAACAGCTTTGGCCTATTCAACAAACCATGATTCAGCATGATGAATCTACTTTTCTAAATAAGAAAATGGGCTACCATATTTATTTTGCTACTCTTCACATGCACACTAATAACACACAATTAACTGTTTCTAGGTAGCTTGACAAAGAAAATTAATCTGTTGGGATTGCTGTAACTTGCACTCAAACCTCCATACCCAACTGAAATAAGATGTTTACTGCAAGAACAGAAAATACACACACGTACATACATGGCATTTTGATTATACAGTTAAGTTGTATCTATCTCTGAGTCCAAGATGTGAACAATAATACATTGTTCTGCAACATACTCACAGATCCAAGCACTGAACAGCATAAAAGTGCCTGGGAGCCTACAGGAAAGATTTCATTATGAATGAAGGGGCTAAACTGTATGTCCAAATGTATGAAAGGATGTTGTCTAGGTTGTTGTAGGGCACTTTAAAGGAAGAATCCACAGGCTGGTGATAACTGCATGTTATGCTCCTAAATGGTGATCTGAACCAGAGATGAGTTTGGAGAAAAATTATGCAACATTCTGAATGAATACAATCCAGAGGGAAAATGTATTCTGCTAGGTAACATGAATGAATTGGTGGGAATAAGACAAAAGAGTACAGAAAAAATGACTGGGCCATTCAAAGACCCAAGAATGGATGAGACAGTGACTGAGGACTCTCTCTTTAGAAAAAGCTCTGTTTCATCTGCATAGTTTAAGCTCAAGTCTGTTCATACCTATACAGTTGTGTGAAAAAGGAAGTACACCCTCTTTGAGTTCTATGGTTTTACGTATCAGGACAAAGTAAGCAAATACAACCTCAGATGAACAACAACACATGACATATTATACCATGTCATCATTTATTTTA